ACGATACGTAGTTGTAACTTTGAAAAAATCAAGCAGTATTTTGCCAATTACACCGTTGAACCTTAAGCCAAAAACAAGCGCATGTTAAGAATGTAAATGCCTAGGGCTACAAAAAAGTATAAGTAGAATGGTGAGCTAAATCCAAAGCCCAAGACATTGCGATTCTTTAAGGCGAGACTGTTTAAAAATGTTCAGATTTGCTTTTAGTTTAGATTGTAAATGTAAATCTTATTCTGTATGTATATTGTATAAGTATGGTTGTATAAGAAGAACCGGGGCCTGAAGATAAACAAATTAAGCACCATTAGTATATCATTAGGTTCAACATAGCACGCAATCATATCAACATTTATATCATATTCAAAACCGCTTTCATAATTCTGTTAGATCAATAGTTCTGTAAATATAAAATATGAAAAATGTGAAATATAAAATTTGTTCTGATTAACTTCATACTGAAGAGATAAAGAACCTTTCTTCAGAGCAGGATTTACCAAATCTGATAATTCTTTTCGACGTAAACCTCATCCTAGAGATATTTTGATATTAATTTCATTGTGGTCGGGTAATAGTTTAGTCTCTTATAGAAAAAGTGTTACGTGTTTGGTGTTATGGTCCAGTTTACTCGCTTCCCAGATAACATAGCTTCCTAGTCACTAGCTACCTAGCTTCCTAGCTCACTAGCTCACTAGTTTCCTAGATCCCCATCTTCTTAGATCCCTAGCTACCTAGCTTCCCAGCTTCCTAACTTCCTAGCTCCCTAGCTGCATAGCTGCATAGCTGCATAGCTGCCTAGCTGCCTAGCTACCTAGCTTCCCAGCTTCCTAACTTCCTAGCTCCCTAGCTGCATAGCTGCATAGCTGCCTAGCTGCATAGCTGCCTAGCTGCCTTGCTACCTAGCTTCCCAGCTTCCTAACTTCCTAGCTCCTTAGCTGCATAGCTGCCTAGCTGCCTAGGGTCTTAGCTGCCTAGCTCCCTAGTCCCCTAGTTCCGTAGCTCCCTTGCTACCTAGCTTCCTAGCTCCCCAGCTCCCTAGCTTCCTAGCTTCCTACCTTCCTAGCTCCTAAGAAGCTCCCTGAGCTTCCTAGCATCCTGGCTTCCCAGCTATATAGCTCTCTGGCTCCCTAGCTCCCTAGCTCCCTAGCTCTCTAGCTCCCTAGCTGCCTAGCTCCCTAGCTGCATAGCTCTCTATCTCCCTAGCTCTCTAGCTCCTTAGCTGCCTAGCTGTCTAGCTCCCTAGCTGCCTAGCTCTCTAGCTCCCTGGCATCCTAGTTTTCGGAAAATCTGTGCTTGAGATAATTGAATATTAATGAATAATTAGTATAGTAAGTAAATAATGGTTCCCAGGATCCTTTGATTGACAGGGATCCCGCTACAGGCCTAGTTCATCTTCAGGGGGGGGGGGTTACATATTTCAATATTAATATTCATACTCAACCCTGGGAAAAAATTAGAAATATCTGACCCTTTCACTACCCTTCCATTCTTATTTTGGTGTTCTTTAAATAAATTAAATCTTGACTTTGAACAAATTACTTTTGCTTTCCATCGATCGGCCCCAAAACATATATTGGAACGAATCAATTTGACATTTTGTACTACAAACACCCCAACATGTAATCATGCTTATTTTCAAAACATGAGAATTCATAGTTTGCTATAGACAAGGTTTACAACATTCGGGTGCAAAGATATAGGGATAATACTATGAGAGTTAGTGACAGCAACTCAATTACTTTAATACATCCTAAAGTCGTCAAAGACGTCTCATTCCTTTTACCTTTTCGTTGATATCTCGTCCATTTGCCAAAACACATGTCAACAAAGCACAAGTTTTAAATTCTTTCAAGAAAATACAAGCTATGCATTATTAACGTTAAAATCTCTAAAATAAATACTGGGTTAAAAGAAATCTACATTTACAGAATTATTTTAAAAAAATAAGACCAAAGTTGAATTGTAATAGAAAAATATTAAGATAAAACTAAGCCTTGAAAATAAATAAAACAATCTCCGACCTTTTTCCATATCCCCTCGCATCTTATATACCCCCCCCCCCCTTCCCTCCCTCCTGTCCCGAACCCCCCAGAATATAAAGGGGTCCTGACAGCCCACTAAATTAATCACACAAAAGGTTAATTTCCCTCATTTCCATGAGAAAGAGGTTTAAAAGGATTCAGGGATAAAATTTAAAAGATAAAAATCAGATAAAAAATTTTAAAATAAAAATTCAAAATATATGTTTGTCTTTTTAAATAGTTATTTGGATGAATATTGTTCCCTGCCGTTTACTTGAGAATCGTGAGGTACTGAGAACGTATGGTTACGTATGTTTAAAGGATTCAGAGTATATCGAGACCAAAGATATTATTTTCAAAGATGTCCGACAATATGTTCCTGTCATATGTTCGCATGCATTTTTATAGCTGATTTTCAATCCCTTATCCCGGGTGGGCTATATTTTTTAATAACAATTAGTAGGGATGTTATAGTGTAGTCACTGTACCGGATTGACTAGCTTCGAGAAAGCTAGAACAAGTTGTACATATGTACCAGACTATGACGGTTAAAACGGTACGGTACACCATATGAACCATCTCTTTCTTGTGATAGTACTGTATTGTATATGGTTTTTATTTTTCTATGTAATTTTTGAAAGTTATATAGGTTTTTGTTTCTTGATTTCTGATGACTTTAAAATTAATGGCCTGGAAAATCTAAAATTTTACAAGAAAAATTATTATAATTCATAATTATTCGATCGGAAATTTATGTAAATGACCATTTACTGACGTCAACTGTTTTTCTTGGCGGAAAGTCTTTGACTGCATTTATCTGTAGCAAACTATACATATTAAGGAAATTAACATAACACTGTAAGGTGAAGAATTGGGGTGGTCTAGTGGGCTCTCTCACACTCAATCCTTAAACCACAATACTTTCAACCTTATACTCACCATTTAACTCAAAGTGATTATATGTAAGATGGGGAGGGGGAATGCGTACATTTCCCTGTGAAGTATTAGGACCGCTGAGGAATTGCTTGTCAATCATTTTTTCGACTTTTAAACAAAAATATGGTGATCTTAAATCCCTGATATTACAATGCAAATACATAAGAGATCTCAGGAATCAGAATGTTAAGTTTGTTTAAAATTGACAACAAAACTTTTTTCTTTTATTTACGTGACACATAAGGGATTCAACGCATTCCTCTAAAAAAGATAATTATTGATTATCTTGTATTTAAGAGATTTCTGATTTAGAGGTATAAACATGTACTTAAGAGATTCCTGATTTAGAGATAAACATGTACTTAAAAACAATATGAATGCAAACATTTTCAAGCTCAGAGGGATTAGATAATGTTTGAAGCAATAAAATTTGTTACCTTAAAATCTAAAAAAAAAATATTTGACGAATGATAAAAATATAAAAAATATATTGCGAAATTGTCCTAAATAACAAACATAGTAGATTATTGTTTTGTTTCTTACAATTTTATACAGATTATTTAATTTTTTACACCTAATTTTGATTTTCTTTTAATTTTTGCTAAAACATTTAAATACAAATACAAAGGGGCAATATTCTATTAGTACCCCCTTCCCCCCTTTTCATCCATGAAACTTTTAAGTACTGAATTAGTATAGGAAGGACAGCAAAAGGAAAAATCGATAATTTTTAATTTTTACAAGAACAATCGAGACATAGATTGAAAGGGGATGAAGTCTTTGCCACAAACTCTGTAAAACTTAAATATTTCAAGCTATGAATTCTGTTAGAACAAATAATATAAAAATTGTACACCATTAAGTTGCAAAGATAAAGGAATTAGAAAATTTGATTTGTGGCCCAGACTCAATTCCTTTACTCATACGATCGACAACACAACTCCGTGAAAAGTTATTTCAGCAACAAGCTATTCCCAATTGTTAAAGCCTGTCACAAAATGCCAGTATTTCCAAATCAATCTTAACTACAGAAAACGCACTGTATTTCTGTTCTCTCTACCTTGGGTTTAAGCCAGGTCTAACCTAACTAGGACATATATATTAACAAGGTTCATGAATGATAAAGTTAATCTTTAATTTGGTTACGAAGTATGCATAAAATGATGATAATAGTTATTAGAAGGAATATAGATAAGGTATCAGGTTTCCCTGATATAGTGCTCAGGGATATTTGTTACAAGCCGAAAAAATATGTATATAATTAACTTATATATTGTGATAAAATAAACATGAAGAGAATTCTATTTTTTTTAAATAAATTGAATATCATATTTCCTTATGGTATTATAATTTTATAATTTTATGAATCAGGCTTGATCCCGCAAATATGACATGGATTAATTATATTGTAATATTTAATAAAACAGAGGCAGGAACTTTGTGTTGCCTAGTAAGAGTTAAGAGAGAATAGAGATCTATAAAAAAATTGAATTTGCTATATTTTCTACAACAGGTTACATTGTGTTTAACTGGAGTACATGACCAAAAAGCACAAATCTGTATTCATGGATATTTAAGAATTCTTTGGAAACGAAATAAAGATAAAAAATATTACATGCAAAAAGTGCCGGTTATATGGCAGTCAAAAACCTTTTGTAAGAATATAGCATGTCGTGTCGGTACAACTGTAGGCCTACTTAACCCAGCCTGTGAAAGCTGATTATCAATCTGTATATATTTAGTATGTGCCTAATTCCTAACTCTTAAGCACAATCATTTATTCCAAATAATTTCTCACCTCCTCTTTAGCTTTTCTCTAGTCGTTCAATTCTTAGATTTATAAAGGTTAATAATCAATAATTAAAGCACATTGAATTAAATAAACATAAAATGTTTAAATATTGAATTCCGGAAATTCAAAAGTTTAAATTGTGATTTTCGAGTTGTGCATTATGTAAAGCAAAAGTTCCTGTCTCAAAACAGGTAAATATAATGAAGGGGTGGAACAAATTCAAATTTGATTAATTATACAGCATTTTACCTTAGCATGGCATTTGAGAGCTAGACTTAGTCAAGGCTTTGAAGTTGCTTTGATTGTTCTTAAGAAGAAAGTTATACATTATAACTTCAGGTAAACAGTATTCGTTCCAAATTATATTTTTCAACTTTAATATTAATTAAAGAAGTAAAAATTTCGTTTTTTAAAATAAATTATATCAACCAAAATAAAAGTACTGAGTAGTACAAATACCAAAGATTACACTATAAAAAAAATCACAGATACCAAAGAGTACTCTAAACAAAACATCAGAACAAAACAATAAACAACAAACGATTAATTGTTAAATAAGTTTATAAACTATAACATTGTATAGTATACAACGCACATTTCATTAAGACAAAAATTACAGTTTACGTCGCATATATCAATAGAATGTAGACAACTTTCTATGTCAATTTTGATTTACCAAGCTTTTAAACAGCATGGAAATTAATAAACATGGAAACAAAGAGAAGCTGTCAATAAAAAAAAGCTTCCCCTTGATTACTTGTAAGTTTGTAATTCTAAAAAAATCTCGTTAACTTTTAATACTTAAATAAAAAAGTCGTCTTTATTGTATTGATGTAAACACTGTATCAAATTTTCTTCAAATCTTAATTTACATATTTTATCTCACAAAAACCAGCACATTTATCTGTTTTGCTATTTCTTTTCCTTTTTATCTATATGATTCCAAAATAATTTTTTTTTCCAAAAGTCAAAGCTATCTTTTCCAGAATGAGGAGCAATTGGTTCTCAAAGCTATTGATTCTCTGTTTTTTATCTTTTGCTTCAGCAAAAAAGTATCTTGTAGAAACAGCTGGTAAGGTAAGTTTCATATTTGCTTTTGCTAAGTTAATCTGATAATTAAGCAAATATTAACAAATGAAGCACATGCTTCGTTTGAAATAGGCCTGTGACCACAAAGTAAGACTTTATTTTTTTATCTCAAATTAAACACCCATAAAATTTTCTGCTATAAATTAATTATCTTAATTTTGATAAGGAATTGATTCAACCTGAGGTGAAAGAAACAGGAGGATATCCTTCATCAGCACCAACTCTTTCACCAGCAGTTCCTTTAGCAGCAGCTCCTTCAGGAGCAACTCCTTCAGCAGCAGTTCCTTTAGTTAAACCAGCAGGGGACGATTACTCAATTGATATGGAGAGTTCATACCAGTTGTTAGACATGCTGAATAAGAATGAGGAGGACAGAAGGGAAGCTGGACTTCCTTATTATGATGATGGTGCTACCGGAGCGGTACAAGATTTATTCATTGAATCTTCAGGAGCTTCAGGTTATGATGATGATGCCACAGATTCCACAGGAGAAACATCTCATAGACCATCTCCAAAAGTTAATAGAGATGACTTTGATGCATCAGGAGATGCCTCTGATAAACCAGATTGGATCGGAGATACACCATATAAATCATATGGCAACAATCTTGATGATGATCTTGATGCCACTGAAGAAGAAACAGTTAGGGCATCTGGCAAAAGTCTTAAAGATGATACTGGTGCCACTGGAAATAGAGGTGGTATTGCATTGGATTCTTCTCAAAAGTTATTAGACTTGATAAATAGTGGTAAACACAATAAAAATAAAGAAAGAGGCCTTAAAGATGATCTTAGTGCCACTGCAAATACTGATGCTATAAAAAAAGGTGCTCAACAGTTTTTAGACTTGATAAAAAAGGGAAAGGGAGGTAACAAAAAAGGCAATAAGCCTGAAGATAATTTTGACGATACAAAAGCTGAAGGTCATAAACTATCTGGTGGAATAGATTTGGAATCTTCTAAAAAGTTGTTGGACTTAATATCTAAGGGTAAAAACAAAAAAAGTGAAACTGATGCTGTGAAATCTGAATATGGAGATTATAGTATATATTAGTAAATACATCATAACTTACCAATCAATTAACTGTAATGTTTATTTTGATTAGAGCATTTTGGAATTCTCAATGACTTTTCCACAAAATAGTGAGAAAGATAACACAAATTGTTTGACAATCTACTGACAAAGTACCTAACATTCTTTTAACTTATTTGCTTTATTTCAGGTAATCACATCATATCCAATTTTGTTTTTATCAAATAATGTAGATTTAAAGCATTAAGTTTTCAGTTCAGTATAATCTTTGTTTTTGACATTTCTGAATGTTTGAGGATAAAAATAACTATGTTAAAAAATACTTTTCATAAGTCAAAAAATTAATGTGTTAAGAAAAATATGAAATATGTAGGTTAACTTTATACCAGGTTTCTGCATGACATTCTGATTTTACAAATTCAAGATTGTTAAAGCTAAATGTAAAATATTATTTACATTTTAATAATATTATTTGTAGATATTGATTTATTAAATATGATTGTTCATAATGGTAATATAAATCTTATCAATTATGATTTGATTTGATCGCAGTTGTAAGGTTGGTTTTTAAAAGTAAACTGAATTATCACTAAAAATCAGGTAAAAGGCATTCAATTAACATATACAAGTAAAAGTCTTATAAACTGCTTAGGCAACCGGCATAGCAGCTACGATGGTATTTTGTAATTCAAACAGCTGGTTCAGTTACGGACTGTTTTGGCAGCAGGTGGCTAAAAGCCCCTCATAGAAGGAAACAATAGTTTTCGTTTTTCTAAAAACTATTGTATGATTCCATTTGTTTTGAAAAACTAAGAACGAAAAGACTTTACAATTGTTTTTGAAATAATTTTTGCTATCAGTAAATGCTTTTTTGATATCTTTTTTTAATCTTTTTTACAGTAAGAAAGTTTATGAATGTTGTCTTGCATGGTATTTTTGTAAAATCTATTTAAGGCGATTTACAGCCTATTTAAAGAGAATATAAGACAGCAAATTGTAAGCATGAAAGACAATATTAAATATGTATTTCAATGGTTTCAATCTAAAAATATCTAAAATTAGTTTATGTTACAGAGAATATAGTTACTAAGATTGAAAGATAAATGTATAAATAAGTTAATAAGAAACGTACTTTTACTGCATGCGTGCACTATCTCTTGGTAGAGAAATGACCTGAATGTTTCCTGACATGAGGTTTTTCTAATCTAAGGGTTTTCCGACCAAAACTGTATTTCTGAAAAAGGTTGTCAATTTATTTAAGTAAGTATTTCAAATTGACGATTTAAAGGATTAATAAGTATGTGTAAGCATAGATTAGGTGTGATTGATAACTCTGTCAACATGATTGGTAAAAGAATAATCTATTGGTAGCATATGAGGGCTCAAAAACTGTTGAGCCTTATTTCCTTGGCCTGGCATATTGTGTCTCAAATGCTTTTTCTGTGTAGACCCATTGCTTAATAGATCTCATATTCTTAGAGCTCCATCTTGTGACTCAAATATCTATTCAGCATATGACCATATGTGGCCCAAAACGCCTCAAATTTCTGAACGTTATAGACTAGTGACATATTTTGACTTAAATACTTTTTGAGCATAGGAGCATTGTGGTAGTTTGTGGCCAAAAAAGGCTTAGCTCCTTGGTGACATATATTGTGACTTAAATATCTTCAGTAAAGGACCATTGGGGTTGTTAGTAGCTCAAAACACCTATGATAGCTATAGCTCCATGGTGCCATATTTTGACTTTAACACCTTTTTAGTATATGATCATTGTGATGACCCAGAACACCTTGTAAAATGTATATTTAGCTCTATTGTTGCATATTTTGACTCATTGAATCTGATATCCTTTTGTTGTGGGCTGTAGCTAAGGTTCTTAATGGTTTTAAAAAACTAACTTTAAAAAAAATAATCGATTTTGACAATACTTTTGTTAATAAATATGAGTTTTACAGTAAGAAAAGTTTATGAATGCCCAGTAACTCAGATATCATCGAATAATACATAGGCAATTTGTTAATAAAGGGCTGTCGCCATCAATTGTACAGTCCTTTCATGAAGGGTCAATGTTAAATTAAAACAACCTATCTTAGTGAACTAAACGACAAACTTAAACTAAATAACGACTTCTTCACTTTTTAAATTTAAAAACTAATATTTTTTAAAAAGAATTACTTTTGAACACAACTATTTGTTTTTCATTTTTCCTTGACCTTAACAAAAAGAAATGTATCATTTACTCTCAGAAAAATTAGAATCAATGGAAATTTAAACCCCCGAGGGATCCCTTCTTTTTGCCTATGTAGATTTTCAAAATATCTTTCAATGAAAATATCCCAGCAGGATTAAATGAAAATTGTTGCATACCAAAAAACCAGCTTTTTATAAAGAAATGATTATTGTTCACAAGAAAGTGAAAATGATCCATCCCTAGCGGTGGCTTATGGAGCCATTATGTACTCGGATTATGTGAAATTCTTAGCCTTATGTCTAGCCTTTCTAAAACACTGAATAATACAAATTACGTATGTCTCTAAAATTCCATTCTTACACTTTTAATTTAGTTGTTAGATAAACTTTGATACAAATCTAATCAGCAACTAAATTGCATTGGCTTTTTCATTACACTATAATAGATTTGATGTTTTGAAGATTAGCTAATTGCATCACTATAAAATTGTAAAAGTCTGTGTATTTAGCATGAAAAGTAAGCTGACCTTTATGCTTCTAATTTACTTTTTCTCTACATCTTCCTCAAAAACATATCTTGTAGAAACGGTTGATAAGGTAAGCTTTGAAATCAATAAACATTTTCTAAACATTAAAAATACATATTGCATAACCCCTGAAATTATTTTGGTAAAACTTATTATTTCTCTATGTGAAAACTTTACAAAACATGAAAGGAAAGGGTAGACATAGAGAAAAAACAGAGGAACAAAAAAATGGAAAACAAATCTTTTTATAAAAAAACTCTTTTTAAAAAATGTCTGACAAAAAAAAGGGCAGAAGGACACAACTCAATTACGTCTTTTTTTAAAATCATTAGCTGATCAATGCAAATACATACGTTTGACAAAAATTTTTATCATTTATCCAAACTCAAAAGTTAAGATTAAAGAAAAATAGTAAGCAAGATCAGGTCTGCCTAAACAATTATTCACTTTGGTTTATAGTGTACTACACCCATATGTCAAGTATTTAATAATAAGACAACGGCGCTATGCAAAACATTGGGGTACATGTCTTTTAATCGTCCTTGAGTAATTCAAAAAATAGAAAGACTTCCATAACACACTGGAAATAGGTTTACTGATTTATCATTTTAATTGCATGTGTGAGTTTGTGCCCACATCCCTTGATTAAAATAAATTATTGAAAGTTAAAAAGGAATATTAACTTTCACCAAAATAAAAATTAAGCAAAAGCATGTATAATGGTAATTTCTAGTGAGCAATCATAATCTTAATCAAGCATAAGCCTAAGAATTCATAATTATTTCCCAAGAAGGAGATCATTTAGTCTACTGTCCTGCTTTGCAATGTCTTTGGTGTTTATGTAAACTTTACACAAAGTAAGATAACATTTTTTTTGTTATTTAGGAAGTGACAAGAAATTATGGTAAACATGCTGCCCTGGAAGCTTCATCAGTTAAACCTGTTATAGTTGGTGATGATTATAGTATAGATTTGAATAGTTCAAAGATACTTTTAAACTTGTTAAATGATTCTGATGTTTCCGGAGGAGTAGAGCTTCCAAAAAAAATAGATTCTTATGAAGATAAAAACATTACAAATGATACAAATGCTCCTAAAGATGGAAATGTATCAGAAAATGTTGAAGATGAAAATCTTGGAAAAGAAGTTGATTCTTCTGAAGATGGAAACCTTCCAGATGATATACATTTTTTTGAAGATGATAATCTTCAAGATGACATATATGTTTCTGAAGATGAAAATACCCTAGATAAGAAAGATGCTTCTGAAGATGAAAATATCTCAGATAATGTAGATGCCTCGGAAGATGAAAATACCCCAGATACGAAAGATACTTCTGAAGATGAAAATACACCAGATAATGTAGATGCCGCGAAAGATGAAAATACCCCAGATAATGTAGATGCCTATGAAGATGAAAATACCCCAGATAATGTAGATGCTTCTGAAGATGAAAATACCCCAGATGATGTAGATGCTTCTGAAGATGAAAATACCCCAGATAATGTAGATGCTTCTGAAGATGAAAATACCCCAGATGATTTAGATGCTTCTGAAGATGAAAATACCCCCGATAATATAGATGCCATAGAAGATGAAAATTATCCAAATGATGTTGGTTCTGTCGGATATGGATATGTTGTAGACATTGGTGAACCCCTTAAAGATGACTCTGTTGGAATTTGATACCACTATTTCATAAGTTTTTTTTAGACTTTCATACCATTTTCTGAGGTTTTTACAGACCATTTGATTTAGCATTTAAATTACACTCGCTGAGGTTTAGTGTTTGTCTATCTGATGGTAAAAAGGTTGAAAATACAATTTAAAAAAAGATAAAAGCGATGATGTTTTGATAACTTTGTTAATATAATATCACCTTTATACAATTATGACTGACTCAAAAAATGTTTCGATATAAATGTTCACTAATTGCCTTTTTAACCTTTATAATAGATAATCACATACATGGTGGAAAACCTTGGTACAATCCCCCCCCTTCCTGTCCACCACAAAATTTATTCAGTAAAATTTTAGGATCTCAATTATTCTTCAGGAAAAGAAAAAATTCTTGCTCAGATTATTTTTTATGATTTTTAAAAACTATTTCTTATCTCCACATAAATTAACTAGTATAGCAATTTTGTGTTATTTCAACAAAGATATTTTTTTTCTGTAGGTATTCTTAGCAATGCAAATATCATCACTAAGTAAAGCTACAATCAAGCCCATTAATGAAACTTTTAAGTGTAATTCTTAGTGACCTGATTTACAACTATATCCTTGAAACCTTATTCTAATAAAAAATTTAAAAACAAAGTCACTTAAAATTTCAGTCTCTTTAAATCTTGCACAAACAAAGTAAGCGGTCAGGCAGTGCTTCTTGTCAATCAAATACTTGATGCAAAAGAGATGGGTATTGTTTTTGTTAACAAAAAACATTTTTGAGAAAGAACAAAATTTTTTTGGGATTGTAGGTGTCGTTCGGAAAAAACTAACATGGACAAATAACTTGGATTGTTAAAAAAAATGAAAACAATTGTTTTCAAAAAATAATTTAAAAACTATTGCTTTTTTACTGAACAAAAGAATTTTGAAAAACAATAGTTTTCTTTTACTAAGAATGATTTTATGAACAAACAATTTTACTGAACAAGCGATTTTACTAAACAACCAAAGGACAAATAATCAAATTGAAAAAATAGCTATTAACATCAAATAAACTAAATGGAAGTATTTATTAAATAGATTCATAGTGGAAAATTATTATGTGTCTTATTTTGAAAGTGATCTTTTAAGATTCCAGAGATGTTGTCAGGACTTTCTCCAGGGTGGGGGCTCTAATTTTTTTGTCTTTTCAGGGGGGGCTCAACACTTCTGTTGAGGCCTGGAAATCCACTGAAATCCATAGATTTCACTGGTTCAGGGGGGTTTAGCGCCCATAGCCTCCTCCACCCCCTCCCTGACTAGGCCTCTGAAAGTTTTGTTCATCAGACTCATATTCAAATTTTCCATTTGGACCATGATTCAAGCTTTCAGTATCTTCTCTATATTGTTCATTAGAAACATCATCAGCAGGTGATTGAGGTTCCTCTTCATATTGTTCATCGTCATCATAAGATTTAAAGGAATTGTGTTTTGTAAACTTAGGGTAGTCCTCTTCATATGATTCATATTCATTTTTAAAATTGATATTTCCATAATCTGATCCATTAGTTTGTTTTGATGGCATGGCTGGTTTGACAACTGCTACAGGGTTGGAATATCCTTCAGAAGGGTTTCTTCCACTCTCCCCTGCTCTCTAGATATATTAGAAAATCTAGACATAGAAAGATGGATAGGAAAATAACTAGGTAAAATAAAATTGGACATTGAGACAAAATTACTTTTTACACCAACCCCCTAAAATCAAATGTTGTTATACCAAAAATTACGTTTTCTAAGGACAAAAGCAAATGTTTAAAAAAAAAATATTAAATAGTGAAATCAGAAAACAATGGAAAAGGAAGATAACAATACTTAATGTATTTAATTGGTGGTGTTATAAAGTAAATCTTTTAGTAAAGATAAATTATTAAACCCCTAATTGTCTGTTCACCATGCACAATAGCTGTGCCTCGTGCTCATTGGGTTTTTTAAAGTTATAACTTGATTCTGAAAGTTGTCTTCCTATTTCAGAGTTGTCACATTGATAGTATATATCAACGTTAAAATTTAACACTTTTGAAAATGAATAAAAATAGATTAAAGTCAGGAAAGTAACATTAAAGAAGTTATCAATGAAATAATATTTCACAGAAACCTTGAAAAAAAGCTTCAATCAGATGCAAATCAAGATTTTCTTGGAAATAGCCAAATTCTTTGTTAAAAATGCATTAACAATATACTTATACTGTTCTATTTTAAAACTAGATAACTAGAAAGTTCTTGAATAGTTGTTGTACCTGAATTGTATCAATAAGATAATATTTTGTTGAATAAGGTTTACAAGACCCCAGAATCAGAACAACAGTCACATAGTGAATCTTCATAGGTATCCACATGGTTTAATAGAAAAGAATATACATTTTGATTTGTTTTGTACATTATGTGTATGGTGTTTATGTAATTATTTTAAATGTTTTTATCTATTTACAGATCAAGAATCTATAAATTTGATGTTAAATACTTAATTTTTTTTAAGATAATGAATGAGAAAATTGGACCATTCAGACAAATAAAAAACAACTTTTTTTAAATGAATAAGAAAACAAATACAAACAATTTAAAATTGTTTATGCTGAATATTTTATTAATCGTCAATCAACAATGTGTTCCAACAAAATAAAACCGTTTTTTTTACTAAACAAATGATTATTTTAAACAAACTTGAAGTTCCATTGTTTTTACAAACAATTTTTTCAGTTATTTCAAAAATAATTTGAAAAGACTATTGTTTTTTTTATGAACCAACACATTTTTTGAACAAACTTTATTAAATCTATTTTTTTTAATGTACGAATGATTTTATTGAGCAAACACTTATGCTAACGGAATGATCTCACTGAATAAATTATTTGACTGAATGATCTGTCAGTTAGAAAACGAACAATAAAGATAGAAAATTAACGTTTGAAATTTTTTACTGTACAACTGAACTGAAGAAAAAAATGAAAAATATCGGTTGTTAACAAACGATGAAAAAACTGAAAAAAGGCAAACAAGCCCATCTCTAAACCTAATAATTAGAATTTTCTATTTTGACTCTATCATAATTGACTTTGACATTAACCCTATCACCTGTGGTTTTTTCTAAATAACTTGAAAAAGTCTTACATAGAAAGCTGAACTTTCTTAACTTTTTCAACATAATAGTTGTGTACAAATTTTGACAACAAAATTTTTTTTTTATGCAAAGGGTAGGGTGAAGGACTGTCAAAGGGAGGGTCGTTGTTTCAAAAATATTAGAAATGGTTAATAGCTTTTTTACTAATTAAGCTACAGTGCTAAAACTTAAATAATTGAAGAGCCCATGAAAAATAAATTCATTAACAAGTGTCACATGTTAATGTTTGTCAAACGTAAAAATAACTATTTTAAAAAAAATTTTGACATACTTTTTGAACTTTTTTCCTTTTTAAATCCTCCCTTACACCCAAACCATTAAAGTTAAAGGGCCTTTTTTTAAATGAGAGGGCCTTGAAAAGTTTTACTATGGGACACATGTCACACTCCCTTATTTCAACACTAAGGGCAAAATCATAGGGGGAGGGGGGTGGAAAACACACACTCTCCAATCTATATTAGTTAAAAATAGCCCAATCAGGATAGGGTTAACAAAAATTAAATGTTTGTTTTTAAACCTGGAGCTTGGAAGGCACTTCACTCTTCTGTTTGCTAAAAAGTAATTTGATTCCGTGGATAAACTATAATTGTTATATATTCATCAATTCATTATTTAAATTGAACCTTTGAAGTTTTTACAATAATAAAAAAATATCAGGATAGATATAATTTAAAGCTTATTTGCTGGTTGACAAATAAAATATAAAATATGAAAATCATTATTTAAGATGTAAAAATGTTATTGTATAACAAAAGTAATATGACTTATAGCATTTCATAACATAATAATTAAAAACATTGTCACCATCTTATTTTGTAAAACAGGAAACATGCAAGAAAAAAAAGAGTGTCTTGAGTGTCTCCAAAAAGCTTTTAGACAAAATGTAAAATATATTATCAGGATGTAAATATTTTAATCTGCAAGTCGCCAAATGTTTTAATGGATTTTTTTGTTGGTGTTAATTGAATGACTTTAAATTTATGAAATCAATATCGAAGTCTTCAATGACTTGAAAATGTCTAAAGGTCTACATTTATTTTGTTATTTAGGAAGTAACTAGGAATTAATATGGTAAACATACTGCCCTGGAAACTTTATCAGTTAAACCTGTTATAGGTGAAGATTATGCTATGGATTTAAATAGTTCAAAGATACTTTTGAACTTGTTGAATCAAATGATAAAAATAAGATTAAATTCATTTCATCATTTTTATTTAGACTTTCATATCATACTCTGAGGTTTTTACATACCTTGTGGTTTAACATTCCATTGGTTCTATTTTTCCTGAGAAAAAATGATACATTTAAATTACAATTTTTGAGGCTTATCATTTATCTATCTGCTATTAAAATGTAAAAAGGTTTAAAATATTTACAATCAAAAAAAGATAATGTTTTTTACTTCATTAATCACTTTTCCAAATTGGGACTAAAAACATGTTTTGTTCAAATGCTTACAAAGAGACTTTTATCTTAGTTAAACCCAAACATGGTGGACAAATTGGTATTTCTCTCTTAACCAAATACAGACAATAAATAAGCAACACATAAAATCTATTTCTAAGATTAATTCTATTCATTAGGATTTTTTTTTAAATCTTGATAATAATCATCATTAAACTAGGACAGGAAGGCTGTGTTATTTCAGAAATAATAAGAATTAAATACTGCTTGGTACAAACTATTTTTCACTGATTTATGCATAGATGTTAAGCATCTTTTGTAATGTTATCCATATTCTTAATGTAAATATTATCAAACAGTAAAATTATAAGCTATAATCTAGCAAATAAATATATCACAAACAAATCAAAGTCAGTTAGTGTTTCTTGTTAGGCTAAAACTTAATTCCCCGAAAACGATTGTTTTTAGATTGCCTTGATTAACTTTTTACTAACTTTTTACAGTAAATTTTTTGAAGAAAAGATCAAACAGAAGGCATTTTCAATCATTATTAATATTTATACAATTGGATATATAAATATAAAATGATCAATAAAAAAGTATTTATTAACCAAATTTATAGTTTAAAGTTATTCTGTTTCTTCATTTAATCCTTCTTTTTATTTTGTGAGTAATCTTTTAAAAGTTTCGTTCATATGACTCATACTCAAATTTACCATTTGAACCATGATTCGAGTTTTCAGTATCTTCTCTATATTGTTCATTAGAAACATCATCAGAAGGTGATTGAGGTTCCTCTTCATATTCTTCATCATTATCATCATCAGATTTAATTGGACTATGTTTTGTAAACTTGGGGTAAGCGGCTTCATATGATTCATATTCAAATTTTTTAAAATTGATATTTCCATAATCTGATCCATTAGTTTGTTTTGATGGTATGGCTGGTTTGACAGCTGCTACAGGGTTGGAATATCCTTCAGAAGGGTTTCTTCTACTCTCCCCTTCTCTCTGAATATATTAGAAAAATCTGTTCCTACAAAATACCATAAACAATTTAGCACATTATAGTAAAATGTGGGATAAGAAAGTAGATGCAGGTAAAATAGAATTGGACATTGAGACAAATCACTTTTCACGCAAACCCCCTAAAATTAGAATTGACAAATTAAAAATTACAGTTTCTGACTAATAAAGCGAAATATTTTGAAAAAAATTACTATAATAGTTTTATCCACATACAAAGGAGCTAATTTTTTGCCACAAACCCAAATTTGTAATTCATAATTATTTGCAACCTGATGGTATACATACATCTTTAAACTTAGATTATTTAATCTAATAGAGTTTATAGTTTAAAATATCAAAGGTCTTCAACATTGGGTTGCAACGATTATAGGAATAATAGAGATTAAAAATGAATAAAAAAAATAAAAGGAGAAATATTTTTTTAGCTATAGCTGGACCAAATTGCAGCTGACATTTTTGAGGGAACCCATGGCATTAACAATATATATTGATAAAAATCTATTTTAAAACTACAAAATAAAAAATGGTTATTATACCTGTATTGTTTTAATTAGATAATATTTTGTTGAATAAGGTTTACAAAACCCCAGAATCAGAATAACATTCACATAGTGAACCTTCATAGGTATACCACCTGGTTTAATATAAAAAAAAAACATACAATTGAATTTGTTATGTACATTATGTGGAATAGTTTTTATGTATTAGTTGTTTATCAATTTGATTTTAAATTCTAAATCAGTGTTTTTTTTATCTTTTTCTAAATTTATAGATCTTTAATTAAATTTTGATTTTTAATTAAATTTAGATCAATTTTGAATCCGAGATTAGTTGGTCAAAGCAAAAGTATAATTGTTAGGAAGCAGAAAGCATCTGATTAATCAGTAATCAGATGTTTTTGTTTTTTACTTTATACTTTAGATTTTATACTGACTTCATTAGAGATGGGCATCAATTTCGTTAACAAACAAAACATTTCAAAACTCAAAAAAATTTTGAAGATGTTTTCCAGAAAAATTAATGATTCATGGACAAAGGAATTGGATCGTTCAGAGAAATAAAAAACAGATTTTTTTTACTAAACAAACAATTTTTTTAGCAAACTTTTAAAAATATGAAGGTTTTTTACCAAACGAACAATTTTTTCGATAAAATAAAAATAAAACAATCGTGTTGTCACTGAATAGACAATTTTTTCTAACAAAATTCAAAAACAAATGTTTTTTTATTTAAAAAACAGTTTTATTGAACAAATGATTTTACTTAAAGCACGATTTAATAGAATGATTGTTAAATTAGAAAAAATAAAATGGGTCGTTGAAAAACGATGGAAGAACCAAATGAATAAAGCTACACGAGCCCATCTCTAGACCTAAGAAATGGAATTTTTTATTTTAACTCCGTCATAATTGACATTGACTTTAACAAAAATAAAGGTTTGTTTTTAAACCTGAAGCTAGGAAGGAACTTCACTCTTCTGTTTGATGAAAAGTAATTTGATTCCATTGATAAACTATAATTGGTATATATTCATCAATTTAATATTTACATTGAACCTTTGAAGTTTTTACAATAATAAAAAAATCAGGATAAATATAATTTAAAGTTTATTTGCTGGTTGACAAAAATATTATAAAAAATGAAAACAATTATTAAAGATGTAAATATGTTATTATATAACGAAAGTAATATGACTATAGTATTACAAAACATATTAATTAATATCATCATTGCTATCTTATTTTGCAAAACAGGAAACATGCAAGAAAAAAAAGTCTTATAGTTATTATCTTTAAAAAGTTTTTAGACGAAGAGTAAACTATTTTATTACAGTAAATATCTTCGTTTACAAGTCGCCAAATGTGTTAATGGATTTTGTTGGTGTGATTTAAGTGAAATGAGGGTATGAAATTTAGACTCCAGTTAAAGTAGAAAACTGTTAAAGTTTACCCAGGCTTAATTAGATGAGTTTAGATGAACCAAGTGAAACTAGCACAGGGTTAGGCGACACTGGAAAAGGTATTAATATCATTTATTTTTAATATATATATTACTATATCTATATATATCTATACATATATGTATAAGAATATTAAAAAAAAATTTGGTCTTTGCATTAAAGACATTAAGACATTTCCACAATCTCACATTTATTATATCTTTGCCACCTGATGGTGATGACGTTCAATGTTAACTTTAGCTTCATGTTTAAAAAAATATTTATTTCTATATTTATGGATAGATTGGCTGGATTTAGAAAGATGATTAAAAATGTATTTCAACTCTGTGTTGATTTAACTACCTGGAGATCTAGATTCTCCTGGTTTACACGAAACATTGAGAAAACGGAATAATTCATCAGAACTTTCGGGAGATAAAATCCTCAGTAGACAAACCTCCAGATACCAGGATACATGGATATCAAGGTTTCAGGATACCAGGATACATGGATATCAAGGTTTCAGGATACCAGGACATGGATATCAAGGTTTCAGGATACCAGGACTCCTGGATGCCAGGTTCCTGATACCAGGATACATGGATATCAAGGTTTCAGGATACCAGGATACATGGATATCAAGGTTTCAGGATACCAGGACTCCTGGATGCCAGGTTCCTGAATACCAAGATACCTGGATATCAGTGTACCCGGATACCAGGATACCTAAATACCTGGATACCAGGATACAAAAATACCAGGATACCAGGATACCAGGATACCAGGATACCAGGATACCAGGATACCAGGATACCAGGATACCAGGATTCCAGGATAACTGGATACCAGGATACCAAGATATCAGGATACCAGGATACCAGGATATCAGGATACCAGGATACCAGGATTCCAGGATTTCAGGATAACTGGATACTAGGATACCAGGATACCTGGATACCAGGATAATAGGAAATCAGGATAACAGGAAATCAGGATATCAGGATACCAGGATACAGGATACCAGGATACAGGATACCAGGAAACAGGATACCAGGATACAGGATACCAGGATACAGGATACCAGGATACGGGATACCAGGATACAGGATACCAGGATACAGGATACCAGGATACAGGATACAGGATACCATGCTACAGGATACCAAGATACTATAGATAAATTGATACCATGATACCATAATACCAGGATACCAGAATACCAGGATACAAGGATACCATAATACCAGGATACCAGGATACCATAATACCAGGATACCAGGATACCATAATACCAGAGTACCAGGATACAAGATACCAGGCTACAGGATACCAGAATACTACAGATAAAAGGATACTAGGATACCAGGATACAGGCTACCAGGATACTGTAGATAAAAGGATACCAGGATACCAGATTACCAGGATACAGAATACCAGGATACTGTAGATAAAAGGATACCAGGATACCAGGATACCAGGATACCAGGACACCAGGATACAGGATACTAGAATACTATAGATAAAAGGATACCAGGATACAGAATACAGAATACCAGGATTCCAATATGATAATTAGGAACTGGTAACACTGAACAGGCATTATAGTAAATATTGCATAAAGAAAAAATAAAAGACTTTCTAAATATATTTTCAGAATTTTTTAAGATATATTTCCATATCAGCTGCTGATGAAAACAAAGATGGATGACGGGGTATACAGGTAATTGTACTCTAAAAATCATAGTTTTAGAATTCCCAGATTCAAGAATTGGGCCCCCTCCCCATACTAAAAAGTCAATATCAGTTTCAAAGTAAAATGCTAAAAAATAATTTTCTTTCCGAGCAGACGAATCTAAAATATGAGATATTTAGTTGCTTTTTATTCATTGAAATTGTCTGAAAGTAGTTCTTTTTCACTATAAACTTCGGTTCATTTAAAGTACCGGGACGAATTTTCAGCAGCTAGAGAAAGCTGTTTTGTACGCATACATACTTTTCAATGCAAATAGGATAAGACACTACAGCAAAGGAATCACCCTTTCTAGTGAAAGGAATTAAGTCTTTGCCATATTATCTGATTTTCAAATCTTTATATCTGTGCAACCCAATGCCGTTTAAAAAGTTTACACCATCAAGTTGCAAAGATATATGGATTAAAAAACTGAGCTTGAGATAAAGACTCCATTTCTTTATTTTTTTTGTTATTATAATCTAATAGAGCTGCCATTTTGATTAGAAAGCTGAGATCAGTGCTGACATCTGCGCACTCACTTCCCCCTTGGACTGCGCATGTGCAGTCTCTATCAGATAAACGCATCCAAGACATCAAAGTATTTTTTTCCATTATTCTTGAAAATCATTTAAACTTAAAATTAGAATTATCTTTAATGCATGAAATTTAGGAATAAATATTATTTCTTATTTAATGAAACCTTCAAACACTTTTAAAACTGGGAAATTTATTGTGATGTCTTTGCCACAAAATCTGATTTTCCAATTCCTGTATCTATGCAACCCAATGCCTTACCCTTAGATATTTTGAACAATGATTTCTGTATATCGTGAATCTAAGTTTTAAATATCAAAGGTTTGAAAAGATATAGAAATTAGGAAATTTTATTTGGTGGCAAAGACTCAATTCCTGACAATGATATATTTTGATTTTATAACAAAAATCTAGATCAGTTTATTTTAAACATTTATGATCGATCTGATTCTGATGCAGGATTTGACAATGAATTTTTTATCATATATATCTGGTGGAGAACCAACAAAAATATTAGAGGTACTTTTGCATTTATAAGGGCGTGTTAACCTTTTTCAAAATACACAAAATTCATTTCCGAAAAATTGATTTATTTTATTAGTTTATAGAATGACATAAATTTTTTACAATAAAGTAAATAAATAAATATTAAATGAAACTTTATTGATAAATAAGTGTTTTTCAATTTTAAATATTTAGCTAAAGTAAGAGAATCACGAGCCAAAAATATAACCATTTTTCAACCAAAAATACAATTATGTTTAAACCAAAAATAAATCCATTTTTTACAAAGAATACAAACTAAAAATGTAACTGTTTTTTGACAAAAAATATAAACATATTTTAATTAGAAATTTAACCACATAGCGCTTTTCTAATCATGAGAATCAATCTTCAGGCGTAAATGTGATTCCTCTGAATTTTACTAAATAAAAGCCATAACATGCTCTATCAATAACCAGACAATGTTTTATAAATGTTCTAAGAAACTTCGCAGTTTGTTAAGAATCAGTGTCAAGTCCATCTCCACGGGCATGAATTTTAAATTCTAAAATATTATAAAAAAAAAACAGTATTATGCTGATTCAGCGAAACTTAAAACTAAAAACAACGAGGAAAATTCATTTTGCAATTCCATATGTCTAAATAAAATTGCACATATTGGACAAATTCGATATGTTGGGGGCAGCAAATATTAATGTTTTGAAATGTATCCTTTTTTATTTGAAAAATTATATTTCTAAGGCTTGCTTATCAGAGAAAGATAAGAAAGAGTTAATGTCCTATGGAGGGGGTAAAAAAAGGTAAATAAAGAAATAGAAAAGATCAGCTGATTTTTCTTCTCAATTTATAAATGATCTCTAAAAATAGGTTTCTTTGGCTGACATCAAACACAATAGAAAAGCTAATATTTTTTTTTAAAAATTCTGCGCTTGGTCAGATATTCTGTACTAGAATTTGTGTTCAGTATTTTTTTTTTGAAGTTGTGTTCTAAAAAATAAAAGAGAATAATAAATTTCAGATTAGAAAAACTGAACAACTTTATTAAGAAAAGTCCACCTTTGAAACCTTGGACTGCCAGGTAAATCTGGTTTAAAGGGAATGTTTACGGAATTTCAATAGACCCTCCATCTAAAGAGTTAAATGCTAGATTCATGCTGTCCTTTAAGGCTTGATCTACAAAAAATAAAATAGATATATTTTCTTGTTTTTGCTGCAAAATCCTCATTTAATTTTTACACAGAACGAGAAATTATCAGTAATTCAGAGAAAAAGAAAAACTTATCATTGATTAAAAACTACATTTTCAAATCAAGCATTTATTTTTTTTGAATACTTAAAATTATTTGTACAGTCCCTTTAAAAATACTGTAATTTTACCTATAAACTCTTCAAAAGAATTGACATTTTGTCTGAATGTAGAAAATGTGACGAGACCAAGTCAAGACTAGATGTAGAATTGACAACAAGGCGAGTCCTTGCTTTCCTCTCAGGTCAAAATATTTAAAGATTTTTTATTTAAAAAATATGAAATTATGTTTTTATTATTTGTTATTGCTTTGCCAATTGCTTTTTTTGCAAAAGAGAATTTTAGATCGATTTTAGACCAAAAAAGGTTAAATTGTTTCCAAATATTTGAACCGATTTGGGCATCTTGACCAAATTATTGGGTTTTAAAATAAAAAATTGTTTTGAAAAACTTAAAAAACTAATGATTAAAATGTTTAAAGGTGGAGATACCGTGCCTTTACTTTGTGATATTCTATATCCTCGTGAAAAGGATGTTATTGCTGATAAATATAGGTATTATAAAAATATCCTATTATTTTGTATTCCCATAGTTATCTTTAAATGTATATATTTTACTTGTCTATCTGTTATTAAAATCTAAATTTTTTGCCTAAGATAATTTAGATCACAAAAAATTCTTGAAATACGCCAATGAAATAAAACAATTGTTATTGTTTTAAAACATGCGGAAGGTGTTTGCAGAAAAATGACGCAAAGCTCTCTGTAGAGTGTGCATAAAAAACTGCTTAACACTTTTGCATTCTTAAGTGTATTTAATGTTCGTATAAAGCAAAAACTTTTACCATATAGGTTAAAAATCAACTTTTAAAGTGAAATGTGCCCGTGTACACTGCACTATTGACGTGTTTTATGTTTATCAGCTGCTAAAATCATAAGTCTAAAAGTACAAGTCTTCTTATCCTACAGTTTATGGTCCGCACTGTGTTTGCTAACAAAACTAAAATTTGAATTGTAGGGATGCCCTTGAAAAAATTGGCTCTGCCATCAAACATTGGAAACCAAAACAGAAAGGACAGGTATTTTTTAAACATTTTGTTTAAGTGTTTAATTTTTAATTTAGTTTTGTATTTTCTAAAGGTTTTGAATGCTGTGAAATCTGCTGATTTTTTACCTGATGATCTGAGAGAACTAGGGTAATTAATTTTTAATATTCATTTAAATAATCAAGATTTATGTTTTAATGGGACTGTAGTCGCAATTCAAAGTGACCTTACACTTGTAATTGGCAAGTCTCATTCCCAACAGTGACAATCAAACCTTAGAGTAATGAAGGATGACGGAGTTTTCCTTATTTTTAACAATAATAAAATAATAATAATAAAAGATAAAAAATTTCGATTTAAAATGATTTATCTTTTAAATGTTCTTTCTGTGAAATGTCTTGTCTTTTGAAATATCCTGTCGTTTAATGTCCTGTCTATGAATTGTCCTGTCGTTTAAAAGTTGTTTACTGTAAAATGGCATGTCTTTGAAANCCCCTCCCCCAGAAAAATTATCATTTATCATAATTTCATATTTATTGTTTAGATGGATTTTCTCGACAAATCTTTGGAACAGTTGTTTTACAAGTGCTCGTGGTCCACTTCATCAACAATTTAGGAAAATAAATTCAATAAATTCACAGTGATACAAAAGTTTCAAGCTTTCCTGCAAAAATTGATAAGAATTTTTCCAATTACTTTTTAAAAGCTGAATCTGAAACAAGTTCTTAAAAATTGTGTAAAATATACACAATTTAGGTGAGTTAGTGATGTAAAATAAAAGGTCAAGGCAATCCAGCATTTCAACGTCAAACCAATCTTAAAAATTGATGCAACTTTTCATTTGATAATTTGATTGTATTTTATGAACAAAAATTCGATAAATGCCATTTGTTAGAAGCAAGCTTAAACCAGTTCCTGAATCAGAGCACGAGACTGGTCTAAACAGGAACACTAGGAACGGGGAGAAAAAAAAAACAGTTTAAGTTCAGTCAAAATTCGTTTATTAAAAAAATAGAAGTCGAAAAATGTCGGCTCATTGAGAAACTGGAACGATCATTTTGAATGGCAAATGCGCTAACTTTTTTGTCAGAGAAACCCGGGTGCCAAACCCTGATTTATTATTTTCAAGAATTAAAAAATTCAAAATAACGATCACATATTGTTAAAGATTAATTATTAATAAAAAAAATCGGAACGAAAATTTTATTAACAAAACGGTTTTGAAAAGAACGAACGATCCATATCAAGTCCTCGTTAACAAACGTGGGAACGGCCGATTTAAAAAATCAAGAACGTCCACCGCCTTCTTGGTAAATCCGCTTAAATCTCTCGTCAATTTTTCCCTTGCTAGGCCTAGGGTGAGATATCGTTTGGAATTATTTCAAAAGCTAACGGTTTGAAATCTAAATTAATAAATGTAGTTTAAGTTAAGGTCTAAAAAAATGTTCAGTAAATGTTTAACTATCGGGCTCAAATTTTTTTGTGGGTCCTTACATGCCCCAGGGAGGGTTTATGGATGATTAAAATTTAAAAAATAGCCTCCAACAAAATTATATTTTCATTAAATTTTAAAATTCCACGAAATTTTTTTTATAAAATCCGCGAACTTTTTTGTTTTTTGTTTTTTACGATGTATACATAGAGAAAATGTTCAGAATTGAAATCGACTTAAAGCCTAGTGTACAATAATATTTTGTTTAGATTACGGCATATGTGAGTACAGACGAGGATAGTGAAGATGAAAGAAATCCATATCTTCCATCTTTAATTAGATGATAAATAGAAGAACAAATATATTATGGGGAAAACATCGGTTAACGGTAAAAAAAGAAATGCTTTATTTGGCGGAGTTTTAGCTAAGATCCATTTAATTAGATAAAAAGAAATTGAGTCTTTGCCACAAACTTTGATTTTCTAACCGCCACTACTGTATCTTTGATTTTCTAACCGCCACTACTGTATCTTTGATTTTCTAACCGCCCCTGTATCTTTGATTTTCTAACCGTCACTACTGTATCTTTGATTTTCTAACCGCCACTACTGTATCTTTGATTTTCAAACCGCCACTCTTTGATTTTCTAACCGCCACTACTGTATCTTTGATTTTCTAACCGCCCCTGTATCTTTGATTTTCTAACCGCCCCTGTATCTTTGATTTTCTAACCGCCCCTGTATCTTTGATTTTCTAACCGCCCCTGTATCTTTGATTTTCTAACCGCCACTGTATCTTTGAAACCAAATGCTGTAGACCTTAGATGTTTCAAACCAAGAATTCTGTTAATCAAATAATCTGAGTTTAAAATATAAAATGTTTACAATTCACATGTTTCTAAAGATGGGGTTTAAATATTTGAGTTTGTGGCAAAGACTCAATTCCTTTAGTTTTTATCAATGTTTCTTTATTATTAATGAGTGTGTAAGTTAGCATAAGTGAGTGAATAAGTGAGTGAGCCAATATGTAAGTGAGTGAGTGAGTGTGTGAGTAGGTGAGTGTGTGAGTAAGTGAGTAAGTTAGTAAGTGAGTAAGTAAGTAAATGTGAGGGAGTGAGTGAGTGAGTAAAAGTAAATGTGAGGAAGTGAGAGTGTGTCCGTGTGTGTGTGTTTGTGGTGTATGGTATATAATACCAGAGTATCTGTTGTCTGGTATGGCTGGCAGTGACCCCCCTCTATAAAAAGTTCACCTCTAAATAGCTCCTATCATCAGAGATACAAATTATATATGTACCCCCGCCCACCCACTAGCAGAACATAACAAAAATATTATGCACCCTTTTCACAAATACAAAAAGAAAATTAAAATTTTCTTCAGATCATATTTGTTTTAAAGTTTGAAAAAATATGAAATTTTTGTAAAATGCCAACTTTAAAAATTAAATCCAAATTTGTTTCTAAAAAAATTATTCTAAAATTTTTTTTTAGGTGCTCGGTTGAACTTTTTATTGGCATAAACTGGTATTGTTCTGGAACTAGATTCATTTCTTAAAGGGACTGTACACGTAATTTAAAGTAAACTTCCATTTACAGAATTGCAGGTCCGATTCACAACGGTACACTTGAAAGCTTTGTCTGATCAAAAAGGAATAAGAGATTTCAATATTTTTCGATTTAATAATGAATTTGTTAAGTTAAGCTAGAAAAACGATGAAATTTTTCCAATCTGAAATCAGAACGGTGATGTTGTGAATCGGACATTTCCCTTTTATTAATGGAGTTTCACTTTAAAATTAAACGACAGTCCCATCAAAAAAAATCACTCGTTGACATCTTCCATTTGTTTCTAGATTCCTCGCCAGCCATTGATAGTTTAAACTTGTCAATGTAGAAATTCACATTGTTCAAAACTATCTTCACATTAAAACTATGAAGGTGGTCCTTCGGGATTTTCTTACCAAACCATTTTTTCATTTTTATTTTTCATTTTTGTTAGATATGATTAATAATATAAATGAATATAGTCCGTATAGTCCGTATTACGTCATCAGAACTTAAGCCAATGGCAGTGCAATATCGTTGTCACGTGATACAGACGGTACGGACTATATGTAATTATATTATCAATTATATCAAATAAAAAAGCAAAATAAAAATTAAAAATTATAATTGGATAAACCTATGATTTTCAGGCTCCTCCTGTCGGATATCGTCGTTTTCAGATTGGTTGCATATTTGTTGAATATGATCTGTGTAATACTACAACTTTTATACAAAATTGCATAAATATGAATTATCGTATAAATTTTACACAGTTTTTTATCAATTTCTCTAAACAGGAACATCAGATAGATGTTTTATAGGTATCGTTCAACTCCTGAGATTCTCAGGTTTCAGCCTATACCCCCTTTCATTTTTCCTTTACAGTCTCTTTAAAGAACTGCTATTTTCATAATTCTACTGTTATCTTTATTTCATGTGACCCTCCATTGAAAGATTGGCATGTCCGATTGACAGCGGTACTCTTAAAGTTTAGTCTGATCAAGTATGAATTAGATATTCAGGTTTTTATTTTTGACAACTATTTATTTTCATTTGTGGTTTTTGAATAAAAACCACAAATGAAAAAAAATCAATGAAGAAATTAACAGAATAAAACACTTCGGAAGAAAGAAAAATGATTGTTCTTCCAAATTATTGATCAGAATAAAGATTCCAATGGAGGATCTCTTTAAATTACAACGCTAGAAATGAAAAGTTTTTTTTATGAAAGAGCCTTATGTGCTTTTGATCATCATTATATCAAGTATTGATTTTTTATTTCAAATTGATACTTTTTCACCAAGTATCTTCAACAGGACAAAAAAAGTTAAATCTTACAAAATGGAGTAGAAAATTGTATCTAAATGTGTCAATTTGTATATACAGTAGACCCATAAAACTATGGATTACTAAGACGACTGTTAGACTCAAATTATGATTTTAATTGGTCCAAATAAACATAAAACAAAGTGATTGTGTAGCGTACACAGACCCATTTTAATCAATCGGTTGGTTTTCACGCTAACTGATAAACTATTTGCTTTATAACAACATCAAATACACATAATATTGATTCAAATGTCGTCTTCCTATTCCACTGTCTGATAAGTCCCACTTTAAATAAACAATAAACTGTTTGAATATTGAAATTTAATTTTCTGTACTCTTGAAAACTATGAAACACTAAAGTTCATATTTTATGATCAATAGACAAAACTATTTATTTGTATAGAATATACCTGACTGGCACGCTATATTGGTATTTATATTGGTATATCAAGTACCACCTTTAAAATCCTTACAACAGGAGACTTCAGTTATTTTAGCACATTCATAACAACGGTGCAAATATAGAACACGACGACATTGCTTGGACTGAAATCTTCTCAACAGTTTTGTATTTATGCGTCAATATGTTTATACATTATAGTTTTATATCCTATTGTTTGGCCTAGGTTTCTTCTTTTAATCCTTTAGAATGCAGGGTTCACGTCGGGGGTTAAATAAATTATCTCTTGAAACATTTAGCAAAATCAAACAATTTAATAGATACTAGCTGAAGTGCCCGGCGTTGCCCCTGAATTAAAAAAATGGCCAGCTATATCTTGATTCATGCATACATTTTTATATACATTCGTATATACAAATATTTATATTTATTATATAGATATTCTTAGGACGGTTCTAGGGGCCCTCTGTTACCTAAAACTGTCCCTATTGGCCCCTAAATGATGGTTGTAAGTTTATGAATGAAAGCACAGCGTGGGATTGGTGACTGCAGGATGACAAACTGTGGCTGTGTGTGTGTTGTAATTTCTTATCGGTAGATGGAGCTGATAGTTATGATCGATGTGCTCGCATGCAGTGAATTATGTTAGTATTGTGCTCCCATCTATGTGCTACTGCTTCAAAGGGTTGGGTATGTGCAAACCTAGGGGTTTAACCATCTGTAAAAATAACAAACTAAAAATAAAAATTATTCTTATTTTTTTTTTTTAAATCTAGGTCACCATGATATTTTCTTTTTAAAAACTAAGGTTGTAAAAATCTAGATATAATAAAGAAGCAAAAAAGATGAACTTATGAAATTTTTTTTACGATAAAAGTAAAATCAAAGAGTTCTGATGTTTTAAAGGTTTAAGGATGAAGAGTGTACATGTTGCACCCCTAAATATTATAGATGTTATCAGGCAAATTCTCATACATTCTACCCCATCTCTCTAGTATTCATCCCAACTATATAATGTACACCCCTAACCACCCTCGGTCCATACTATTCCATATCTTCATCATGTTCTTCAATATTAGTCTTCCCACCATTCATCCTTTCCTTTATTCATCCTTTCCTTCATTCTTTCCGTTATTCATCCTTTCCTTTATTTATCCTTTCCTTTATTTATCCTTTCCTTTATTCATCCTTTCCTTCATTCTTTACGTTATTCATCCTTCCCGTTATTCATCCTTTCCTTTATTCATCCTTTCCTTTATTCATCCTTTCCTTCATTCTTTCCTTTATTAATCCTTTCCTTCATTCTTTCCGTTATTCATCCTTTCAGTTATTCATCCTTTCCTTTATTCATCCTTTCCTTTATTCATCCTTTCCTTTATTCATCCTTTCCTTTATTCATCCTTTCCTTCATTCTTTCCGTTATTAATCCTTTCTTTCATTCATCCTTTCCTTTATTCATCCTTTCATTCATCCTTTCCTTTATTCATCCTTTCCTTCATTCATTCTTTCCTTTATTCATCCTTTCATTCATCCTTTCTCATAATTCTGTCTTTATTCATTCTTCTATTCATCCTTTCCCATCCTCCCTTCAACCTTCCCTCCTATCCCATTTTTCCTTTATCAATTTCTTCAATAATCCTTCAACCTTTCATCTAGATATATTTCTTCAATAATCTTCTCCCTTTATCCATCCTTTCAATGTTCCTTCATCCTTCATCCATCACTTCAATACTCCTTCATCCTTCATCCATCCCTTCAATACCCATTCATTCTTCATCCATCCCTTCAATACCCATTCATTCTTCATCCAACCCTTTAATACCCCTTCACTCTTTACCCATTTCTTCATCCTTCATCCATCCCTTAAATACCTCCTCATCCTTTATCCATCTCTTCAATACTTCTTAAGCCTTCATCCATCCCTTCAATATTCATTCATCCTTCGTCCATCCCTTCAATATCCCTTCTTCCTTTATCCATTCCTTCAATACTCCTTCATCCTTTATCCATTCTTTCAATACCCCTTCATCCTTCGTCCATCCCTTCAATACCCCTTCATCCTTTATCCATACTTTCAATATCCCCACTTTCTTAATCCATCCCTTCAATACCCCTTCATCCTTCATCCATCCCTTCAAAACCCCTTCATCCTTCGTCCATCCTTCCTCCTTGATCACATGCATTTTAATACCACCTCTTTCAGAGTTTACTTTAGCATTAACCCCCCTTGCAATTTAATCTTTGGTTTCATCAAATATTTCCTTGCCTTGTAAATCATCAAAATTATAAACCCACAGGAAACCCAGGGAGGGGGTATATTTAAAGGGTAGGGAGGGTAGGCATGGTCGGCAGGGTAAGGAGGGTGTAAAAATAAAACGTAGGGAAAAGATATTTCTAAACTCCTATCTGCAATGTTTGAATCATTATTCGACATGTACTATTTATCTGTCTATCCATCCATCTATCTAACTAGCTGTGTCTATCCATCCTTCTATCAATCTATCTATTTAGCTTTCTATTAATATATCTTTCTATTATCTATACCTATCCATTTATCCATAAATATATCTATTTATCTATCTATCTATCTATGCAACATATCAGTTTACGGATAGATGATTTTGTCTCATGAGAAAATACAAAGAGATACTTCAGAACCTGCCATTATTTATAGAACAAAGTTCAAACCTTTCGACGGATAGATAAACAGATAGATAAAGATATAGATAGATAGATAAACAGATAGATAGATAGATAAATAGATTTTACACTAGAAAGTGAACGTAAATAGGTAATATATATATATTACTAGATATCTATCTATCTTCTAAGAAAACTAAATTTTTAAAATACCAATATATTTATGTTTTTACTTACTCTAAACTAAAAAGTGTAGTTAGTTTTAAATTACTCCCCTAAGTCTCAAAAACAAATATTTTTTTTCATTTTTCTTGTTTTGACAAAGGTTTACCGATGATGAATTAAAACTGCTCCTGTTTAAATGAAATTTCTAGGGAGCAAAATTCAAAATGTGTTTTTGTTTCCATTCCTGGTCAAATAAAGCTAATATAAAGCTAAACTCCGTGTTTGTTGTAAAACAAGCCAGAAAACCGGAAGGAAGCGATCCAAAATTTCTTTATTATTTTCCCTGTATTAGATCTGTCAACAAGCCACAGAGGAAATAGGTTTATTTACTTAAACCGGACACAACAACTTGAAGAGATAGGTGGATAGTTTGATACTGAAATAGCTAAAAAGTGAGATAGTGGGATAGGGAGATAATTAGGTAAATAGAGAGTTAAAGAATTAGATTTTTAGATAATTTGATAGTTGGATATTTATATAGTTGGATAGCTGGACAGTTGGATAGTTTGATAAATAGTTGGATAGTTGGATAGTTGAATAGTTGAATAGTTGGATAGTTAAATAGTTGGATAGTTAGATAGTTAGACAGTCATATAGTTATATTGTTAGATAGTTATATAATAGTTAAATGGTTAGTTATTTAGATGGTTGGATAGTCGGATGGTTAGATACTAGGATAGATTATAGCTATGTTGCAATATTACATAGTTACTTAAACCATTTTTATGACACAATGTGACGAGTAGATTAAACTATTCTTATGACACAATGTGACGAGTAGATTAAACTTAATAAGAAAATTAAGTTGAAACATTTTACTGAATGACTTTGCTTTTCTTTTGTGCGAAAATGTAATTTTTACAAATTATAAATAATCGCTCCCATCCTCTCAACTATTAAATACTTTCAAGAAACAATTTGTCGAGTGATTTAAAATCGAAATTTTTATCAACTTAAGTTTTCATTGAACTGAGTTTTTGCCACAAATTCTGTTTTTTTAATTCCTATATCTGTGCAGCCTGATGTCGTAGAACAAATAGTCTAATTTGAAGTATGAAAGGTTTACACCATCAGGTTGCAAAGATATAGAAGGTTTTAGTTTGTTGCAAGAACTCAGATCCTTCATACAAAGATTATGAAAAAAAAGAAGAGAAGGAGGAGAAGGAGGAGAAGGAGGAGAAGGAGAAGAAGTAGGTGGAGAAGAAGGAGGATTATTCGGTTATTCCTAAATTACAGACTCCAATTCAATTCTTCTGATTTAAATTGCAGGCTAGACCAGGCTAATATGTCATGCAGTGGCTAGATTTGCCTAGTTTCAATAGGTTCATGATTTCAGGGTTAGCTGGTGGTGAGGGGGGGGGGGAACGGGTCAAATGATCTCAAATTAGTTCTTTGTAATGTAATTTATCATACCTCTAAATACACAATGCACTTTACAGACTCTTTATATCTCTACTTAACTTGTCCGTCTGTTTGTTTGTTTTTGTCCGATAAACGTCAAAACGTCTGAACTGATCGGGAACAAATATTGTGGCAACGCACCTCATGGAATGTTTTTGGATAATTAAAATGAAAAATGTTGCCTTAAAAATGTCAACATTTTTTTCTAAATGCGCAAATTAAATCTTATTAATAGAACATATGCACTAAGATGATTTTTGTTTCTTCAATTTAGATTAAATCTTAATTTGGTCTAAATTCAACAATCTTTAAACTTACAGAGTTTTTGGTCTATAATTCAACAATCTTTTAACTTACAGAGTTTTGTTCTATAATTCAACAATCTTTTAACTTACAGAGTTTTGGTCTATAATTCGACAATCTTTAAACTTACATTGGTCTGTATATAGTAAAGGTCCTGGGAACTAAGCTAACCTCTAAAGCTGCTACTACTGATTAATATAAAACAGTCCTAAATGTAAATTTATTTCAAACATGTGATGGATCAATAACAAGAAAACATAACAAAAAGTCAGCATCAATCATTTACAAGATAGATCAATGGGCGTTTCTGTGTGGTGAGAGGGTGTGGCGGGATCCCAGCTACTGGTTGAATCTACCACGCCCCCTCGTAGAGCTTCAAACATTGCTCTACGTTGCTTGAGGAGTTCCAACTGTTGGGAGAAATCAAGTTTAAACATTGGGTTTGCGGCTAGGAGAAGAGGATGCACGGCAAATAGAGGACTCAGTTTATATAGATTAGCTGGATCCAACATGGAGGTAGAAGACTCAATTATTGGAGGTGTAAAGCTGCTGGATGGAGGAGAGACTGGAGGCTCTAGAATGGAGGATTCGAATGGAGACGGACTAGAATGGATACTGAGAGACTCTGAGGATGTGTTCAAGGGTGAGGGAGACCTGGACTGGTTTGGTCTAGAAGGGTTCAAGGTGGGGTCGGAGAACCTAGTGCTCAAGATAGGGTACGGAGCAGAGCTGATCTTTGTCACATTCTTCTGCATCAAGCAGTGTATTTTAAACCAGTTAGATCGTCGACCATAGCGACAACCAGACTTGGACATACCGACAAGCAGACATTTTCTCAGTCGACATGCTTTACAAGCGGTTCTATTCTTTCTGTCGACAACGCATCTATAACTGTTCTTGCACTCCTGAAATAGAAAATCTGTAAAAATAACCGTTTTTAAAGATTATTTTATTCATATTTACCTGAATAACAGTCTGATTGTTGCAGCTTCTACCGAAGAAGGATTTACATCCCTCGCATGTGAAAGCTCCAAAATGGAATCCTGCCGCAGGTTCCTCGCATACACGGCACAGCTGGTTCTCAAGAGGATCAATAGAGTTTAACTAAATTTTTAAAAAAATAGTTACAACTTTTGACAATTTTAGAGTTAAGAATGTTTACAATCAAAAGAATATCTAAAATTGTATCTTCTTCAAAACTTCAAAACTATAAAGAAATGAATATTCTTTTAAGACAAAATTGTTAAGGACATTAAAGTACTTTGAGTTTGTTTTATGATAATACTAATAAACCTAAATAAGAAATTTAATCAGATAAGTCTATAAAGGTTTAGATAGATTCTCAATTTTCGTAGGTTATTTTCTAAAGAAATTTTTAACAGTTTTGAGCTTAATGGTTAACTTACTTTCTCTTGATCAAAGATGGAATTGGAGTTAAAATTCGGGATATTGGACATCAGGTTCATCTTGAGAACTTTGCACTGAGTTGAAAATGCGGGATAACACGCACAGGGATGACTGAATATGTACACTCCTGGATGAGAGAATGGGTCTAGGATGACCTTGAGAAGTTTAAGGAAGAGCTAGAGTGTCCTGGTCCTTTCCACGGATTTGGTCAACTGAAGGTTACTTTCACATCTCTAGCTGGGTAAGGCGTGTAAGGAGTGTAGGGAGTGCCCATCCTTGCCCATCTTTCCGCGCGCACCAAGCTCATCTTCCGCCTTTAGCCTGGTAACCGACCTAACCACCTAATTCAGATTTAGCGTTCAGATCACCACGTGACGTCACAACTAGGCGACATTAATGGGACGGGCCGGGCCGGGGATAAGGGAGGAGTTAAACACCGCGTAGAACAATCTGGAGTGCTGCGTAGAATTGATCTACGTAGATGCTAGAATCTGTTTTTAGAATGANTCCCATTAGTAAAGAACGTGCCTGTTATTGTATTTCAAATAGCTGTAAGGCTAGTTAGATAGGAAGAGAGAACCTTGATTTATTGATTGATTGGCTGGTATTTGGACAGATGAAAAAAGAACGGTTGGATGGTTTGATATCAAGATATATTCAAATATACAGAAAGATTGACAGAGAGATTTATCAGAAAATCCGGGAAGATATTCTGGAGATGGTTTGAGGTTTTCCAGTTCATCTTAGAAAACATGGCGCATTTTTCAATTTGTTTTAAAATAAATTTAGGATGAGACTTCTGAGACGACTGAAAAGAATTTATTGCGTTATTTTTCTATCATCCGTGCTTCCCTGCATTTTTTTACAAGCTTTGTTCGCATACCAAACATTTATAAAGAAAAGAAATGCAACTCTAATATTCAGATCGTCGACTTTAAAGAGTTTTGGTGGTCGTCTTTAAGACTCATCCTTTGTGGGTAACCCTGTTTGTGAGAAAGAGGAAAGAAAACAAACTATTTCAGAGTAATAACGAGGTAAAAAGGAAAGGATTAGTGATGGAAGGATGGATGGATGAATAGATGAATGAAATACCTACATGTCCCGGAATTCATGAATTGATTATAATCTTATTCTTAATCCTAACTCTGGTAAATCTACATCCTTCTCGTTCATTTCATACCTAGCATTCATCTTTCCACTCATCCTTACTCATACCTAGCATTCATCTTTCCACTCATCCTTACTCATATCTAGCATTCATCTTTCCACTCATCCTTACTCATACCTAGCATTCATCTTTCCACTCATCCTTACTCATACCTAGCATTCATCTTTCCACTCATCCTTACTCATACCTAGCATTTATCCTTTCACTTATCATTCCACTCATCCTTACTCAAATCTTGCATTCATCCTTTTACTCATCTTTATTCATCCTTTTACTCATCCTTATTCATACATCCACTCATTCTTATTCATCTTTTCACTCATCCTTATTAATTCTTTTACTCATCCTTATTAATTCTTTTACTCATCTTTATTCATCCTTTTACTCATACTTATTCATTATGTTACTCATTCTTATTCATGATTTTACTCATCTTTTTTAATTCTTTTACTCTTCCTTACTTATCCTTTTTACTAATTAATTTTAAAGCATGTTATTAATATTAAACTGTTATTCTAGCAATCATTTGAAGCCTTCAACAATGTTTTTTTTTCTTTTTTCAAATATAATTTTAAAAACATCTATTCTTCTGAACCTTTTACTCTGAAATATGAAACATTTGTAATCACGCAACCTCTCATCAACGAATTTTCAGATAATGCTTAGAGCATAAAATTACTAAAAACACTCGGAGAACTAGGAGAACTAGAAGAACTAGGAGAACTAGAAGAACTAGGATAACTAGGAGAACTAGGAGAACTAGAAGAACTAGGAGAACTAGAAGAACTAGAAGAACTAGAAGAACTAGGAGAACTAGAAGAACTAGAAGAACAAGAACTAAGAGAACTAGGAGAACTAGAAGAACTAGGAGAACTAGAAGAACTAGGAGAAATAGGAGAACTAGGAGAACTAGTAGAACTAGAAGAACTAGGAGGACTAGGAGAACTAGGAGAACTAGGAGAACTAGAAGAACTAGAAGAGCTAGGAGAACTAGAAGAACTAGGAAAACTAGGAAAACTAGGAGAACTAGAAGAACTAGGAGAACTAGGAGAACTAGGAGAACTAGTAGAACTAGGAGAACTAGGAGAACAAGGAGAACTAGGAGAACTAGGAGAACTAGGAGAACTTGACTCACACGATTAAGAATTGTTTATGTTGTTTCAGAGTTAAAGGAAGTAGCTGTATTAGAGGAAAGATAAATATCATATTTATTTTATGTTCGTCACATCCTTGAAAATCAAGATTTAGACATTGGAGGGTTTAAGGTATGCTACTTTAAATTGATACATTCTTAAAATATATTGCTTTGATTCATAGATGAAAATAGACAAGGAGACAGACAGACAAGAAGATAAGACAACAAGAAGACAGTAGGACAACAAGACAACAATTGAAAATAAGATCGCAAGACAACAAGACAATAAGACAATAAAACAAGAAGATGAGAAGATTAGAAGACAACAAGACAGGAATACAGAAAAATACGAATACAAGAAGACAAAAATATGCAAAGAAAGACAACAAGACAGCAAGATCACAAGACAACAAGACAAGACAACAATACAACATTACAACAAGACAACAAGACAACAAGACAACAAGACAACAAGATGGGGGGGGGGAAGAACGAGGGTAGGTTTATAAGGTAAGGTGGTTGGGGTTTGAATACTTGTTCTACATTTAGAGCGTTGAATTTTAGGGCAAATTTACATTGTAACAATTGGTTTATAAAAATATTAACTTTTAGAGTAAAGATCAAAAGAAGAAACTTTGAAAAAATTGATCTGTTTTTTCTTCAAGGAAGAAAAAAAGTTTTCGAAAAATATAATATAAAACTGTTTTCCTTTAAAAAAACGTCGACTGTTCAATAATTTCACTTTTTGAAAAATCTCTTTGTTCATAATACCTAACTATACTAAAAACAATTTCAAATTGGTAACATTTGTTTTGAAATTATTAACAAAATGTTAAAACCTCATAACTTGAATAGAAATATTTTAGATTTTAGTGTTCATTCGAATTCACATTATTTTGGGAATACCTGTATTATGAATGTGCTTTGGCGATATGCCACACATTTTGGTGTTTTAAAAGTGAAGTTTATTTGCCTATATAAACTGCAATAAAGTGCATCTTTTACTGTATTACAATCATGTAAAGAATTGCATATTTCTGTAAGTGCTTGTAATACTGGAATCAAATCTTAAAGAGCTTACATAGAAATATATGTTCTGAAAGAATACTGCGAAAATTCGAAAACTATGGAATGGTGTCTTTGTTCTTCCTTTTAATTAAGAAATGTCATCAATAATTTATATAATAAAAACCTGCATTAGAAACCCAATGAAATAGTGTACAAATACCAACCTTTAAAAATTAATAAGAAACAAAATGTTAAAAAAGTGATATTTCTTCATGTTTGAGCCTGGTCTTGATCTTTATGAATTAGTTTAGAAAAGATAAATTGTTGGAATGAATTGGAGAAATATGAAGAATTTAAGAGCTTTTCAGGGGTAAACAATCCACTCTAATAATATATCATGTTATACATATTTACCAATATGGAAACCAAAAATAAAAATTTGCATTTTTAAAATTTATTTTTTTTGTGATAGATTTCTACACATGGGAGTGAATGAATAGTGCGCAGCCTGATATAAGGCAGAAGAGGTTAAATTTTCAGCTGACCACAGAGCGCCAGAGACCGGTAGAGGGGAGTTTTAGCTGACCACAGAGCGCCAGAGACCGGCATAGGGGAGTTTTAGCTGACCATAGAACACCATAGACCGGTAGAGGGGAGTTTTAGCTGACCATAGAACACCATAGACCGGTAGAGGGGAGTTTTAGCTGATCACAGAGAAACATAAACCGGTAAAGGGGAGTTTTAGGTGAATTTCAGCTGATCACAGAGCACCATAAACCGGTAGAGGGGAGTTTTAGCCGAATTTCAGCTGACCACACAGCTGTGTAAGCCTGTAGAAAGGTTTTGCCGAAACTCGATAGCTGGCCATTTAGCCTAATTGAGTCACAGAAGTATTCCTTGTTATCTCCTTAAATACCCCTGGAATGCTGGTCTGTGGAATCGAGGAGTTATTCCTTATTATCCACTGGAATACTGGTCTTTGGAATTTAGGATGTATTCCTCCTTATCCCCTGAAATGCCGGTCTGTGGGCTTCATGATTTATTACTCGTTATCCCTAAGAATACCTGTCTTTGGAATACAGGACTTATTCCTTGTTATATTCTTTGAATACTAAGCCTCTAGGAATACAGGACTTATTCCTTGTTATATTCTACGAATACTAAGCCTCTAGGAATCCATGACTTATTCCTTGTTATATTCTTTGAATACTAAGCCTCTAGGAATCCAGTTCTTATTCCTTGTTATATTCTATGAATATTAAGCCTCTAGGAATACGGGACTTATTCCTTGTTATATTCTTTGAATACTAAGCCTCTAGGAATACAGGACTTATTCCTTGTTATATTCTACGAATACAAAGCCTCTAGAAATACAGGACTTATTCCTTGTTATATTCTACGAATACTAAGCCTCTAGGAATACAGGAATTATTCCTTGTTATATTCTTTAAATACTAAGCCTCTAGGAACACAGGACTTATTCCTTGTTATATTCTACGAATACTAAGCCTCTAGGAATACAGGACTTATTCTTTGTTATATTCTACGAATACTAAGCCTCTATGAATACAGGACATATTCCTTGTTATATTCTACGAATACTAAGCATCTAGGAATACAGGACTTATTCCTTGTTATATTCCTTGTTATCCCCCTGGGATACAGGTCTGCGGAATCCATGACTTAATTCTTGTTATCCCCTGGAATACCGGTCTTTGGAGACTAGGACTTATTCCTCGTTATCCGCTTGAAATACCGGTCCATGGAATCTAGGATTTATTCCTCGTTATCTCCTGGAATACCAGTCTATGGAATCCATGACTTATTACTCGTTATCCCCGGCCTTAGAATACCGGTCTGTGGAATCTAGGACTTTTTCCTCGTTATCTCCTGGAATACCGGTCTTTGGAATCCAGGACTAATTCGCTTCACTCCATGCTCTCTCATCCCATGCATACCAATAATAGGCAAAAAGCG